AATTGTATGAAACGTCAGCCAAAATACGACCCAATGAATGGCTAATTTGCTGACAAAGGATGTAATAAAAGCAAGCAAACAGACAGACTAAAAGTAGCTTAGCAGGGGCATACAAGCTCTATGTACAAAATGTTGTTTATGTTTCTTTATCTAATTAGACATATTTTTTATTTGACCTTTTTTTTATTAACAGGTGCTTGTCTTGTAATTCAGTAAGGACACTGTGCGGTATCCGCACCAGATGCTCCCATCTAAAGTTTATAATACGACGTAATTTTTTTCCATAAATAACTATAAATGTGGAAAAAGGGAGGCATGATCAGCCAGAGTTGTTTTGCCATAGTTGGTTTGCCATTGAACAAGTAAGTAAATGTTGCATTTATTTCGTATAAATCATTCTTTTTTATTTATTTACCTCTCAGTTAAAGAGGCAGTACAGTTGCAAAACTTGTGTTTTTTTCATTCAAATTTGCCAACTATATAGTCAAGAAATAAGGTATAAAGTTGATATCGACGGTTTGAGAAACATGATTTCCTCTCCTCATATTCAATGAACGTAATTAGAATCTCCCGGAAAACCAAGGATCGTACAAACAGGAGCAATCTTAGATCTGTTTATTTTACCAAGTGAATTTTTTATGTCATGTGCCAACACTGTGGTGTTCACAATTATAATGAAAAATATCATTTCCTTTTCAATAAATTATTAATCGCGTACTTTTTTGTCAGTTGTTTCACACCCCTAATAATGTTTGTTTGTTTGTTTGTTTGTTGTTCAACGTCCCTCTCGAGAATTTTTCACTCATATGTATTCGGAACCTTTTATTTTTCTGCAAATTAGTATACCCTAGTATTTCGCATTAATTCTGGAAATTTAGTGAAACTACAACGAGGCTGTTAATATGGATAAGATAAATTATTAACGAAAGTGTAGTAGTTAGGAAGTTACTAGCACGTGAAAACATGATGAACAGAAAAGAAATGTTACTTTTCAGTTCTCACCACTGTATGAATTATATGAAGATAACGAACAGTATTCAAGCTCAAAAGTCCATTAAACAATACAAAATAGGAGCAGAGCAAACACGGACTCCAAAAATCAGAGGTGGAATCAGGTGCCATGGAGGAGTGAGCATCCCCTGCCGACCGGTCACAACCGCCGTGTGCTCCTTTTAATGATCGGGAAATAACGGGAAAATCCGTCGACAATTCAGTGTGTAAATAATGGCCTAACAATTAGTATGAAAAACGTCAGTCAGCATTTGACTGATGCAAAAATAAATTGCATTTGCTGAAAAGGTCATTGTATCGACCATAGAACTTACGAAATGATGGCTTTAAACGAGAAAGCTGATATTCTTGTTTCATCAACTTGTTTGTCAATAATTTACCTCGTTTTAGAAATTGTTCCTAGAGCATGCTCTTGCGTATCAAATCAACTGAGAGATATATACCCCGTATGCAGGTGATGAAGGTATATTGCTGCATAAGTAAGGGAGGTTGACGATTGAAAAGTTAGAGTCATCACTTTTATCATAAAGCTTGGTTGATAGATTACCATTAACGTCTTTTTCAAGTAAAATATCAAAATATGAAACAGATGTGTCAGACTCTGTGGTATCTTTTATCTCAAGCTCACCATGATATATCGTATCGACATAAGAATGGAAATAGCCATTGTTAATTGACAATACGCCGTCGATATACCTGTATCTAAATGTCGAGTTGAAGGCCACAGCAAGTGTTTTCTTCTTTTCACGTACAAGGTTTTGGACAAATTCTGCTTCACATGAACACAAAAAAAGGTCTGCTAATAACGGGGCGCAATTGGTACCCATGGGAATTCCAATAGATTTTTATTGAAAAAGCAGCTGTCAATGATATCAAAAACCTGGAATTTAATTTATCGTGGGGAATGGTTGTGTATAAAGTTGAAAAGTCGTAAGTTTTTAAGCTGTTGATTTTGGTAAAATCTTGTGATTTCAAATTTTCCAAAAGTTCCTTGGAATTTTTAAGTATCCACATCTGATTTACACCACTTCTCGAATATATTGTTGCACAGTACCCTTGAAGTTTCTCCTTCACCACTGTTAATATCTTAGTGAGGAGTAAAGAAAGAGACTTGGTTGAACATTTACTGGAACCCGCTATGTATTTTTGTTTGTAAGAATTTTTTTATGAAGTATTGGAATCCAATATAAATATGGTAATTCATATTCATTTTGGTTGTTTGGAATATTAAAAATATTCAAAACTGACATACGATTTTGAAGAATTTCCTCCTTAGAAATGGAACTATGAGCATACGTTGGATTACCACTTGTAGAATTAAATCCAAGTTCCTCTAAAATACATTTGATATAATGAGCCTTACAAACAAAGACAATGTTGTTACGTGCTTTGTCAGCAGGGTCCAGTACGTACTGATTATGTAATCTATTTTTCACTTCTGGATTATTGAATACAAAAGGATAGATGGTTTTCATATTGCCCCTCAATCTTTTAATGCGCGATTTTAACATAAATCTGATACATTTAATCCATTCTGACAAAGTGTCAACGTCTTCTTTTTCATGTCTGGTTCATCGCCTGGCGTTGTCCTCTACAGAATCCATAATATTTATGAAATTCCGACGCCAGTTGAAGGATCGGGGTTCCCTAAATTTAGGAACTTTTAAAATTAGTGATCTGTGGCCCTTTTCACAAAAAATCTTACGATTAAGACAAAAATTTTCCAAATCTCCAACAAGCAACTGAGCTGTAGTATGTCAAAAAAATCTAATATTTCTATTACATTAGATTACATTGTAAATAATATTTTAGAAAAAAATAGATATCTTTATTTAACAAAGAAATACAGATGTGTCAAATTTTCATCTTAGCCCTAAGATTTTTTGTGAAAAGGGCCACTGTTACTGTATAAAATCAATAGAAATGCAGATTAATCTATCTAGAACTAACTCAAACTTCTTCAATAAGCATTTTTTATGACGTTATTTTCTGTAATTATGTATTAAAATCTCTTTTTGGACAAGCACGCTTCTTTTCCAGCGTCATACTAAAATTACATGCTACACGATCTACCAGAGTGACTTAAGATTGACAAATCAGCTAATGAGATGAATTTCATCACATTTTACTACGAATACTTAAGGGATTTTACGCTTGGAAAAGACCACATCTACTCTCAAATGGAAAAAGAATACGATCTTTTTTTCATAGATGAAAACCAAATCCATTATTAACTATTATTTCCATGCTCACTTTTATTAGAAATTGTTAAAGAAACCTAGAATTCAAAGTTTTCTCAATGCCATTCTGTAGGGCGATGTGAGTCTGTATTCCGTTTTTGTACTATCGGTGAATACAAATTAACACGTAATGTTATGTAAAAAAAAAAAAATAACCAATGCTGCCCATTGAAATGGGATACTGCTCGTTCTCTTTATCCTTAAATCGCGGAAGTTCTTTGCAAAACATTTTAACGTGGCACAGACTACGTTTCATTTTGTAAATTGTATAAGTTGAATTTCTAGTCATCAATTAGTTCCAACAAATAAATAACGCACCAAAATAAAGTTATGAGGTAAAAACCACTTCTTATTTTCTTACCGGGAGACTTGATACCTTTCTTAGTTTCTAATCATTGGTTTTTTTTTCCCTTTTTTAATAATAAAAAAAGTTTATTATTATTTTCATTTTTTAGCAGTCCCTTTAACAAAGCATCGAAGATTGACCGCAACAATGCTTTCAAAGTAAAATGTAAACATATAGCTGCCCAACATACCTTGCTATTCATTCAGCGATTAAACAGTTGATCTCTGTAAGATCAGCAATAATAAGTAACAAAGGTTTGTAGTAGATATAACACTTTTTCTTCTAACGCCTATCGGGCGACTTGGGAATTACCTTCTGCGCAATAATATCGGTATTTCGGTACATTGCGGTTCGTTGACAAAAATATCGTATTGCGATACATTTTTTCAGTACGGATATACCGGCAAAATTCTCTGAAGTAAAATGTGAAATTAAAGACCTCAAAAACTTTTTTTTCAATCGTACAAAATAATAAGGTTGCTGTTGAATAGTTGCATTTCGATGCAAAACTGTAGTTAGATCAACAAGAACTTTTTTGTTACAACGTATTTCTAATAGTTATATACATTCTGCTTGTTGGAGATTTGGAAAATTTTTGTCTTAATCGTAAATGCAGGTTAATAAAGTAAAATATAAAATAACATTGTAACTATTATTGAAAATATTGCAATGCATATCGCAATACATTTAAAAATATCGCAATTAAATCACAATAAAATTAGTAGGAGTGTTTAAGATGCACTTTAAAGAATTAAAAGTACAAATATTAACGTTCTGTACATTGGGACCCAGAAAGGAAATTAAAAAAAATATTACGTTATCGCGGTAAAATGTCAAAAAAATATTTTCAGGGCAGTTCAAATAAACTTTACACTTAAAATGACAATAATATTCATAGAAGTTCATAGGTGTATGTTTATGCTGAGTTTGAACTGATTTTTTTTTCTCTGAAAGCTCCTGTCGAGGAGAATCTTTGCGAGCCCTGCATGAGTATCACACAGGTTTCTTTTCTTCCTCATCCAATTATATTCATCTCCCAAATAAAACTTGGTTAAGAATTGACTTGGTTACGCGCTTTGCTCTTTTTTCAGTTTTTCAATATTTTCATACCCAACTCTGTCAAGCAAACAGGCCTAACCGTCTTATACTAGCTATGCTGTTTTGTTTGCGTTTTGTTTGTGATAAGTAAAAAAAAACATAACAGTTAACATATAAGGGAATGACAAACGATATATATATATATATATATATATATATATATATATATATATATATATATATATATATATATATATATGTAGTTTGTTTTATCTCAATTCATGCTAATACACAAATTCTGCAAATTCTGGACAAATATATAACAATAGGAGAAAACAATGCTATGTTTATATATGTTTCAGGACTCTTTAACATGAACTCTCCAAATATCAAAATCTTGTTGACTGTGCTGTTTCTGGTTTCCATTGGAGTCCATTCAAACCATTCCCTGACTGAAAGAGATTCTGGAACACAACTTAGTATGGCAATACAGTTCAAACTATACACTTTTAGTAAAACTAAGAATAAATACTGAAATTTCAATAACAGGGTGTTCCATACAATAAACTAAAAAACTTTTTTTCAGTAAACGATCTGTTATCATCAAACATCCACGGTGTGCAGGTTCCTACTATCAACGGGAAAGATGGTCCACTTGCCCTCGTATTACAAAAGTAAATACTTTATTTAATATTTAAAGCTGTACTTAAACAAGGTTCATCAATTTCAAGTCTAATTGGCCCTCAATGCATCCAAAAGGTGTACTTTTATCTTTTTATATATAGACTATGGCAGAAAATTTTAGAACATATACCTTGCACAAAATAAAGCTTAGAAAATACATTTTAAAATTTTCTAGTGTTCCTTTAAATTTATGTCATTGTGAAAATGAAATATTGCATGTTTTAAAAAACAAAAAGGTCGAATTTGTGGAGAATCTAATTCAGCTTTAAAACATTTTGGGTTTTGCTTTAAATGCATAATTGCAAAATTCTTTATAATGATTTGCAGTTTACGGATTACCGAGGTAATTCTTCCTGGAAGTGTCATTAGAGTAAAACAGAACAGCCCTCTTGTTTTGACTTTGAATGTCAACGATGCAGCTTTGAATGGGACAAGTCAATTTTTGTCCAATTACAAGACACTGTTGTAAGTTTGCATGTAAGAAGAAACGGAGTTTATACATTTATTCTTTTTGATATTTTAAGAATCATTTCATATCTTTTTTCTGTTTAATCTAAAACATGATTCTTACATTTTACTCTATTTATACTTCAACTTTAATTATAAAGAAAGAAAAAAACATCATGATTCTGGTGTTTTTATCTAAAATAACTTTAGTTCGGAAATAACATTTTAATCTCTTAGCGTGCCGTAAATCTTTATTTTTGAAAAAATAAAATAAGCTCCGAGTATATTTAAAACGATGTTGTGCCCATAAAATTAAAGATATTTAAATGCTTCATGTTTATATTGGTAAAGGCTTCAGCAAACAGACGAAGGAATACTAGATTTTAGTGCTAAGTTTGGATTTAGTGTGGACGTTATACCAGGTACATATATTTTATCTAATGTTAATAAGATAACATTCATACACACAAACACACAGACAAACATGAAAACACACACACACACAGAGAGAGAGAGAGAGATTAAACGAATATCAAAATGTAAATGCAATACGTTTTTATTTAATATTATGTATATGCAACAGATATGGAAAGCAAAACTCTTCAGACCGAAAACTGTAGAGTTCAACCTCTAAAGGTGAAGATCTCCGTCCTTGATACTTTGTTGCAATGGCTGTTAGATCTTTTAACTGGTCTACTACAAACTACTGTGGAAAGAACACTAGATGATGTGGTAAATGTGGCATCTTTTAGTAAAAAATTTTCAGTAAAAATCGTCATTTCTTTTTTTAATATTTCAGTTGTAGACGTTGTAAATCTTAACAGAGTATTATTTTTTCCTAGATTTGTGAAACAGTAGCAAGCACTATAAACAATGGAGGAAATCCAGTCTTTGATGTGTTTGCAAAACATTTAGGTAATCAGGGGAGAGATTTTTTTTTCAAATTTTTTCTTTATTCTGAATCTTAACCATTACTGTCTAATTTAAAAAAATATATGTTCCAAAATATTTCTTTTAAAATTGACCTAGAATTACTTTGACCAAATTGTGAATGCTGTTCAAAATTATGAATAATATTTAAAATTAACTTTCCAACCGGTAAAAATATTTATTTAAGTTTTTAAATTAAGGATATCCAACAAGGCCAGTTGACATAAAATTTCCTGATTATTATTGTATTGCAGGGTAAAGTCAAGCAAGTCCAAACGATAAACTAACGGAATGATTTGCAGAACATAAACCATGCCTGTTGTATGGTTATGTGCAACTACTATTTGTTTCCTGAATTAATAATAAAAATACTGGCAGAATAATGCAATAGTATGGCTTGTCTTTTTTTTTCCTTACAATTTTGATTTTTTTAAAAGTTGTTGCTTTTATACGCAAATCATTTGTTTACGTTTAAAGTAATCTCCTCATTACTTTTTGTTCAATACTAATACTAGTACATGTAATACTAATGTCCATTACTATATAAAGCAATAGACTTTTGATACAAAATGTAATATTACAATTTGACATAAAGGGTTGATAAATCTCATAGACGACTGATACATACGGAGAGAATACATAGCGTCTTTTTTTCTGTCTCCGTAGTTTGGAAATTATGAAAAAAAAATTTTAAAAAATACATTAAGAATAAGTAATGTTTGCAGGTGATATTAAAAGAAACTTGGCTGAAATACCGTATCTGGTAATTCAAAATATATATAAAGTTATTGTAAACAAGGAATAATTTGCATGAGGGAAATTCTGCGAAATGGAAAGTTCCACAACTATATCACAATTAGAGTTAGAGTACAAAAGTTGAATTCCAAAACTTTTTAATAAACATGTTGAATTTCAAAACTTCCTCACAAACAGAGATGAATTGCAGGATCCAGTATATGTATCAACAAAGCATATTTTTTCTCTACACAGGGATATGAAGGTCATAAAGGAAAAACTTCAGAGATACAGTGGAAGGTCATATTCTAGAAGTGGTGTATTTGAATTAAGAACTCTCAGTACTGGAAATTTTTTTTAATGTTTTAAATCTCAATTTGTTTTCCAAACTTCACAGCATCAAAGCGTATGAACTTTTAAAATGTAATGCCAGAATTCTATATGGTTAAAAAAAAGACTGCGTTGAGGATTAATATCAACTTAAAATGTTTTCAAATAAAACGAAATATTCTACAACCAATAAAATCGTAATAAGTAAAAGTAAGTTATACTGCTTTTTTATCTCCAGCTTTTTGTTTTAAATAAATCATTGATTTGACATCATTTATGATCATTCAGTTTGTATATACCGTCAGGGCGGAATGACTTTAGCCTGTGCATCCAGAATTTTTCTTTGCTTTTTCTCTGAGCATCGGCCCATTTTGGGTTCAGAGATCTCCTGTTTCCCCGACATGCTTTTTGAAACAAACCTTACAGCTGATGAGATATATGCAATTGTCTGTTCAACAAGACATACTCACTAGTATTCTGTAGCTGCGGCCTGTAACGGGGCTGTTAAAGCTGTCTGTGTCAGAGCTGTGCTTACATAGAAGATATCTTCTGTCAGAACAAGTTTTAAACCGCCCGTTATTTGGTAATCGGTTGACCAGTCTGTTTCATAATACCATATCCATTAAATTCCTCGAACACCTATAGGCAGCCATTGGAAAATCCTTAAAGACCTCTGCCGTTTTTTAAAGGAGTGAAGAATTGGCAAGTTCTTTTTAAGAATACCGATGAGATTCTTAAGGACAGGGTGGTACGTGGTTACCAGAGCGATCCTGCTGCTATTTTCTTTCTCATTCTAATGTAAAAGATTTTGTCTGTCGTATCCTGCCATCTTATCAATAACGGTTTGTACGGAGTGGACTTTGTATTCTTTCTTGCATAAATAAGATTTTTAGGAGATTGCTCTGTTCCTGATACAAAGCGGGGGATGAACAGATGCGACGAATTCTGGTAGCTAGACCATTAGGCACACTCTTGAATGTGTGTGGAGATGACAGCTAGTTGGCATGAGATACAGATGGGAATTGGTTAGTTTCGTGTGAAGATTGAACTCGATTTCAACCAGGGTAGATGTAGTATCTAAAAATATGATTTGATATTTGATATGTCTACAGTAAATTTGATAGACCGATGGAAGGTGTTGGAAAACGAAATGAATGCCCCCACTTCGTTTCTATTTCGTCAATGAAACGCAACCAGCTAGGGGGCTTAAACAGTGATTGAAGTAAAAATTTGCGCTCAAGTTTGACCATTAAAATATTGGCATAAGATGGGGCAATATTGGTACCCAAACAGTGCTATTGACTTACAGGAAATGTTCTCAATTAACCATGAAATTATTACACTTGAGAACGTGTACAAGGAGCTTGGAAAGAACTCAGTAGAAGGAGTTTGTATAGATCTACTGTCCCAGACTTCTCCACAACCTCGATACCCTCATCGTGCAGAATGTTAGTGTACAGAGATGTGGCATCCATAGTCAGGAAAAAGGTATGATCTGGAAGACCGGTCGAGGGTGTCTTTTTAATATTCCGTGGTATCCTTGAGATGAAATATGTGGAGTTAACGAACAGTATTCGAGCTCAAAAGTTCATTAAACATTACAAAATAGGAGCAGAGTAAACACGGACCTCTAAGACATCAGAGGTGGGATCATGTGCCATGGAGTAGTGAGCATCCCCTGCCGACCGGTCACACCTGCCGTGCGCTCCTTGTCATGATCGGGAAATGAAGGAAAAATCCGTCGACAATTCAGTGTATATATAATGGCCTAACAATTAGTATGAAAAAAGTCAGTAAGCATTTGACTTAGTGAAAGATTGTATTTGCTGACAAGGTCATTGTATCGACCATAGAACTTACGAAATGATGACTTTAATCGAGACTGCTGATATTCTTGTTTCATCAACTTGTTTGTCAATAACTTACCTCGTTTTAGAAATTGTTCATACGCAGAGCATGCTCAACTGAGAAATATAAACCCGTATGTAGGTGATAAGGGTATATTACTGCATAAGTAAGGGAAGTTGACAATTGAAAAGTTAAAGTCATCACGTTTATCATAAAGCTTTGTTGTTAGATTACCAATAATGTCTTTTTCTAAAAAGATATCCAAATATGAAAGAGATGTGCAAGACTCTGTGGTATTTTTTATCTCAAGCTCATCGGGATATATGGTGTCGACATAAGAATGGAAATAACAATTGTTGATTGACAATACGTTGTCGATATATCTAAATTTCGAGTTGAAAGCCACAGAAAGCGTTTTTTTTTTTCACGTAAAAGATTTTGATAAAATTCTGCTTCATATAAATACAAAAATAGGTCTGCTTATAACGACGCGCAATTGGTACCTATGGGAGATCCAATTGATTGTTGGAAGACCTGGTCTCCAAAAGCCACATAGATATTGTCAATCAGAAACTCAAGCATCTTTTTAATGTCAACTTCAGAGTATTTGCGTGTACAATCAGATTTTTTTTTAACAAAGTAATTTTGCAAATGACCAATGACAAGGTACGTAAATTTACGAGATCCAATTTTATTGAAAAAGCAGTTGTCAACGATGTCAGAAAGTCTGGACTTTAATTTATCGTTGGGAATAGTTGTATATAAAGTTGAAAAGTCGTAGTTCTTATGTTGTTGATTTTGGTAAAATTTTGTGATTTCAAATGTCCCAAAAGTTCCTTGGAATTTTTTAGTATCCACATCTGATTTACACAACTTCTCGAATATATTGTTGCACAGTACTCTTGAAGTTTCTCAATCACTACTGTTAATAACATGCGTTTTTGTCGCTAGTTAAATGCCACATAGCAAGGCTTAAACAAGTCACTGATTGCACTGCACTTGTCGATATGACGTCATTCCGTAAAACTTGACGCAGTTTGTATGTTCATTGCCCAGTGAGAGGCGGATCAAGTAATATTTTAACAACGAAAAAATGTATTTTATAATTAAATTAAATATTATTTGCAGATGTTTAAAAAGCCATTAATTTAGATGCAAAGTCTTTTTTATGATTTTGTTCATATATTTACAGAACATTTCCTAATTAAAGGATAAGTATGCCGTATATTTGAATGCAGGTACATTGGAGAATAAAATAAGGGTCTTAATAAATCGATCTAGTGCAAGGGCATTCCCTCAACAGATCATGACAAGTTTTTAATCATAAACTCTAGAAGTATTGAGTTATTTGAAAAGTGCTGCGATCCTGTTGACATCTTGAAACTGAATTAATTATTTCTATATCTAATGAAGCTGGCCAGCAAAAAATTCGGTATACGTTCATACAAATATGATTTAAACAATGAAATATAGAAACTATATAGGATCTCAACACTTTTCACAAACTAAAATGGGTGTTGAAACTATTTAAATATCAAGCTTCGAATTTTAACTTGATTATGCCCATGCACTATTGAAATTTATTGGTGACCTCAATACTGCAAGTATATGTGCTAAAATCACGTGATTGATACATCACGTGACAAGTCTAAATAGAAAATCTAATCGTCCTCAATATGTAGTTAATAACCATAATTAAATTTGTCCGATATTAGTAAAGTACTAAAAAGAATCGCCATCTTAAAAAAGAATATATTTTGTACCATAAAAAATCAGCGACATTTCTATTGTGCACCTTGACTGTACTGCGAAAAGAGAGAGGCTTGGTAGAACATTTACTGGATATCTTTGTAAGGATTTTTATGAAGTTTCGGAATCGAATATAGATATGGTAGTTCAAATTCATTTTGGTTGTTGGAAATATTAAAAAAATTCAAAATGACATATGATTTTGAAGAATTTCCTCCTTAGAAAGGGAGCTATGGGTTAAAGTTGGATTACCACTTGAAGAATTAAATCCCAGTTCCTCTAAAATACAATTTAAATCATAAGCCTTACAAACAAAGACAATGTTGTTACGTGCTTTGTCATCAGGGACCAGTACGTACTGATCATGTAATCTATCTAATTCTTTTTTCACTTCTGAATTATTGAATACAGAAGGATAGTTGGTTTTCATACTTCCCCTCAATCGTTTAATGCGGGATTTTAACATATATCTGATACATTTAATTCATTCTGACAAAGTGTCAAGGTCTTCTGTTTCATGTCGGACCCAACGCCTGGCGTAATCCTCTACAGAATCCATAACATGTATGAAATTACAAGCCAGTTAAAGGATCGGGGTTCCCTATATTTAGGACCTTTTAAAATTAGTGATATAAGGTCCTCTTTATTAACTATATTTACGTCACCAGTAATAACTTGTTCAGCAGGATTATAGTTATAGGGTGAAGA